CTAGATCAATATTTATGACTTCCCAGGCCCCTGGACACTCCAGAGAGCAAAGTAAGTGATGAGAAGGCACCCTGTTTCTGTGGGATCTTTGGCTTTTTAAATGGAGATTGATTAGTGATCAAATGCAGAGTTAAAATTATCAGGCCACTGCAGGGCTCAGATCTCTGCCATTTGGGACTGGAAGGTGGGGTGTATGTTTTAAAATAGCTAGACCGAGTATATTAGGAAAGTGATCAATCAACTATTAATAAGTCAAGGTTCAGATCTCTCTCTCTCTCTCTCTCTCTCTCTCTGTCTCTATCTATCTATCTCTCTCTATCTCTCTCTCTCTCTTTCTCTCTCTCTCTCTCTCTCTCTCTCTCTCTCTCTCTCTCTCTCACACACACACACACACACACACACACACACACACACACACAAATCCAGCAAACAAAAAGTTTGCTTTGCCTCAATATCTTTCCCCCAAATCTTCTTACTAGTTCACAGCATCAACAAAGAGTATATATTGACATTTGCTCCCAGGGACAGCAGATTCAATCCATGCACTACCTTATAGCTTCTCAATTTATGTAAAGCTCTTAGAGAAGTGGAAGAGTCAAATTAGTCTGAAGGATAGTGCCAATGAATGGTGTCTAACAACGCTTTGATAAGGTTTCTTTCCCTAATGGGCAAGATAAGCAAAGAGTTAAAGCCAGGGCACTTGCTTAGTATCCAAGGCAATAAAAAGAAAAAGGGAAATGAAAAGAAATTCAATTTCCCTTCCCCAGTTAAACAAAAACTCTAGGTTTTACACTCCTCCGACCTAGATATACTCAAAGAGATCATACAGAACGTTCCTCGGGAAAAAAGAGACCTCAACTCAGCTGTTCGGCCAAGTCTTCAGCTTAGAAAATGTCTTCACAAGGGAATATTGAAACAGACCCAAAAAGAGGTTTATGGGATAGAAACAGGGAATGACCCTAAACATGCCTACACTCAGCGGAGGAAAGCTGCTGTGGCTACACTGTTTCAACCTGCCATTACTTGCTTGGAATAACAGATGACCCAGGCGCTTCTCTTAACAGCAGCGCTCTGAATTCCCATAAGGAAATGTCACTTTTCAGAGAAAATCAAACACATTTTCCTGTACAGTCAGTGATGGGTGACGGAAGGCAGAGGTAGGAGAAAGCAGGGTCAGGAGGGTCGTGGGGCATTTCCATTGTTCTATCCAGCACAACAAAAGTCTCCATACTGCAGGGATTGGAGGTGTGGATCTACGGCACTCCAGATGCTGTGCTGAGCTGAAGCCTCTAAATACCTCCACCATGAAGACAGTGCGCTTTCAACTCCAGCTTGCAAACTGGGCTAAATAATGAATGAGGTAAATTAGACTGCTTTATTTATTAACAAGTCCAGTGTGGCTTATGTAACCACACTCAAAATGTAAATGCATGGTTCTTAAATGCAGGAAAAGCATAATCCAAAATTCCAGAATCCCCAGTGGAGAAGACGAGAAGTAAATATCAGAGGAATAAAAACTGATGCCTTTCACTGAATCCTAGTGAATGCCAGGATTTTTAAAGTGCAGTACGATTAACTGAGATGGCAGAGTTTATGAAGGCAAGAGGGCCAATATCAATGTATTAATGGCACGACACCATAACTGTTTAACCAGGCCAACAATCAACTGCACATAGATGCTCTAACAGGAGAAGCTGCAAATGCTGTTTGTGTTGTGCTAAAAAACAATTAGACTTGTTTACGAATATTATCCCACCTAGGAAATTCAAAAAAAGATCCCTGCTGGCCTTCACAAGATGTGGACAACCTAAAAATCCACGCCCTGCCACAGCAAGGGGGATATAGTTAACACTACTGAACTGTACACTGAAAAACAGTCAAGGTGGTACACTTTATGTTATTTGTTATCTACCACAGTAACAAAAATATCCCTACTTCATTTTAACCATACCTTTTACCACCTGGATGAGACAGAATTTGCCCTTTGCTGTGCACTTTGGCACTTGATACAACTGAGACTTAAATGGCCAGTTACATAATTGCAACAGCACACTTCACTCTCAAATTCTGCTTCTATGTGACACTGGCATTGGTTTTCAACTTAATTTAGCCCTGCTGTGGAGTAACCGATTGCAAATATCTGGAGTGGCCATTTAGCAGTGTGGTAATAATCAGGCATAACGTCTGTCTATAGAAAGAGATGCACAGCTCTAGCCATGACACCTTAGTACGGAAAGGATATAAGATCATACTCGATGGGAAGATTTTTAATAAGACAAACTATCATGACTCTAACAACAGTATGTCGTCTTAACTTGAAATACGCACTCAAACATAAAAATATACAACTTTTAAATCCACCTATGCATATATTTTTTAAAATGTTCTCCCACCAGCTCTCTTTGAACACTGGGGCACAGTAGTTTAATGTGTAGATACTGGAAGATACAGTATGTTTAATGTGTTGCTTTAGCAAGCTCTAATGACAGACTTCTTACATTATTCTTGCTTTCAAAAATAGAAACATGTAGCTTCAGCTACATACCAGTAAGCTAAAACGTTACTATTTTAGAGTTACCCCTAGATGAAAGAAAAAAGTATTAAAAATGTGTAATTTGGTTCCAATTGTAGCTGATAGGCACTGGCCAAGAATCTCAAAGATGTTGAAATAAACATTAATATGTAAGAAAAAGCACAGATGGGGTCTGATAAGGATGAGAATGAAACAAGCTCATCTACTGATGTCCTTGTGAGATCAAAAAGGCAGAATTCAAAATAGTTATATGATGGGCTTTTCAAGCAAGTGTTATGACAAGTTTCACAGACAGACACTGGGACACCAGGTCCTGGGCTCAAGCACAGCTGACTAACAGGTAGACAGCTGCACCTCTGCCAGACCTCACCTCTCCCAGCCTGACTAATGTCACTCGCCTGATTCCCATCGTATGCATGCAACTCTTCAGCCCTCCTGGCTCCCCTAAACTCACTGGGTTTCCAAATCAGAAAGAGAAAACAGAGTAGAAACTGGCAGTGTCATGACAGAATGGATGACTAGGACAAATGCTTAGGTAAATATTTTAAAAATCCATTTAAAAAATTCTGATGATACGAATTTGCCATCAGATACCAAAGAAACAACAATTGTGAGGATACAAGAAAGCTCAGTCCAGATCTGCTGAATATATATATATATATATATATATATATATATATATATCAAACAGCTCAGACATCAAAGATTTTAAATAATATTTTTTTAAATTTAAAGGTAGTTTTATTTTTTCCTTAGCTGATGGCCTTAAAATAGTAAAGTGAAAATCATCAGCTATATCTCAGTTTTTCCTCATTATATGTCTATAATCTAGTACAGACTATAAAAGCAATCAGGAAGAGGAAAATCCCCCTATCTGACTGTATAAATACCCTCCCCATCGTCTCCAAGCAGTCTGAAGGGCCCAGAATCCCACAGCCTCCTCCATCTGACTACTGACTAACACCATATCGTGAAAAAGACAGATTCTGACAAAAAGGCCACCAACTCTCTGGACTAGCCTGCTGAGCTTCAACCTCCTCGGCCCAAGGTCAGCACAGCTGGGGCTCTACCCGATAGCTGCTGCTCTCCCGATAGCTGCTGCTCTCCTGGCCAAAAACACTGGGACCCTGACATCCTGCACAGAGCCCCACAGGCGGCTTCTCCGCCGAGTCTCAGCTATGTCAGCCCGGCCTGTTCCCCTCGGCTTTGTTGCCATTTACTCCTCTCAAGCCTCACAACTTGAGTATCACCAGCAGAACAGGCAACAAAGACCAGGAAGGTCTCCTACTTACATAAAAAACAGCTTGTCTCCATCAACTACGCTGATAGAACCACGGCTGTGCATTTTCTGTGGAGGGGGAGTAAAAGCATGCGCACTCACCAACCGGAAGGCCACAGCCCAAACCCTACTTGCAAGGCTTCCTATCTCAGAGTCAAACACTGTAAAGAAATCGGGGCAAACTTTGCCTTGCAATTCTTTCCACAGGTGACTACAGCCACATGTTCACGAAATGCATGAGGTGGCAGAGTCCTTAAGATAGAAAAATGCAACGCCTTCTGCAGAGGTGACCTAGAAACACTAGAAAAAAGACAGTGAGGTCTTGCTTGGTAATGTATTTGTCACCAGGCCCTCGGAGGGGAGCACAGAGACACACAGCCCTGCTTCTCCATCAAGCTAGGACAAGTTATATCACCTCGGGGGACACAGGGGCCCAGGAGCCAGAATTCACCAGCACCTACACACTGCTTCATCGTCTACCTAGTCCTGAGATGGCACTCAGTGGACAGTTAAGAGTCATAATCCAAATGGTCTTAAAATCATATCTCTGGGAAGTCAAGTCCAAATTAAATCAGACCAGGCTTTTAGGCTGCCAACGATCACATTTTCTCCTTTGAGTGAGTGCATTTCAACACTCAGAACTTCTCCTCTTACTAAGAGATCATTTTCAAGGCTATCTCTGGATGCAATCTCCTCAGCAAAATCTGATAGATAATATGAGAAGGGAAACTGGTTGACTCCGAACCTCAGAGAAGGATATCAAGGGAGACTTTCCTTCTCTTCAGCAGATTTCTAAAGTTAATTATTTTAACCTACTTTCTAGTAAATGTTACTGGAACTTCTACTAACAACATACACAGAGCATTTTATGAAATGAAAATGCCCCAAACCAAGCTATTGTATGTAAAAAGCCTAAAGCACACTCAGCAGATCTTTGAAATATAAAATGCACACAAAATTCCTTCCCACAACGAAAATATTAGACACATGTAAAACTGTCAAGCTTCTCCCTGCCCTAGCAGCCTCAAGCCACTGAAACAGGTAACTGACAAACGCCTCCCGCCTGCATTTCTACTTTCTGACTTCTCCACACACTCGGAGATGCATCTGCATCCAGGACACATGCCTGGCCAGCCTGAGCCCTAGGGCTGAGGTAAGAAAGGAGGGGGAAGAGCACCAGGAACTCACATTTCCGTGATGTTCTCGGGGTCTGCACTGTTAGGTTCCAACCTCGGGAATGCCACGATGCCAGGAGAAGGGTCGCTGCACCAAATCCGAGAAGCACTGCATTTGCAGGACTGGGGACAGGCGAAAGCCGACCTCCAGAAGCCCACAGCCAGCCAGCAGAAGCCCCAAAGCCGCGCCATGGCGGGTCCATGCCACCTCGTCCAGCTCAACATCCCTAGTCGCCAGTGCCAGCCCGCGTGTGTGTCCCCGCGTCGCACCTGCCGGCTTTCCGTGCCGGCGCGGGGAGGCCCGCCTGCGCTTTCTGCCCTCTGGTCGTTTCTGTGTTTGCTGCGGGTGCACGCAGAGTCCAGGGTGTCCAAGGCTGATCTCGTCCTGGGCTGAGTGTATCTGGGCGGGCGGCAAGGTTCACAGTGGCTGGGGCATGGCGATGCGCTTCGCAGAGGGCGCTAACGCCGCCCGCAGCTCGGCCTTGATCGCAGACGCATGGTTAGCACGCCGGGCACCGACCCTCGGCGCCGGGGACGCTCTAGGGCGCAGATTCCTGGCTAGACGTGCACGGGGATCCGGCACGCACCTCGGTGCTGAGGACAAATAGACACGCGTAAGACCAAGTGTAGGACTCCATGTACCACAAACCAGGACGCAGTCCCTCCCCGCTCACCCCCATTCCGGACCCCAGCCAGGAGACTGTGGATGGATGTGCGCCGGGCTCGGGCCTGGGAATCAACCGGCCCTATGGATGGCGCTGCTGCCGCTGGGGCCACCAGTGTGCCCGCGGTCTCTCCAAGACTGAGGCCGAGGGAGGAAAGGTAAGGACAGGGTCCCCAGGACAAGATTCCATGGCACAGGCCAGGTAGAGGGCTCTTTAAAGGGGACACGCAGACTGCCTGCCGCGCTGGCTCCGCGACAGAGCCCCCAGTGATGCTGCAGAATCCACCACGGCCTCGGGCGCGGAGGGCGCGGGCAGGTGGCTCGGCGCGTCCCACCTGGGGAGCAGCTGCGGCCCCCCAGGGGCACCGCGAGGGCCAAGGCAACGAAGGGCGCAGTCCGCGCGGCTCACCCGGCTCCGCGCCCGTGTCCGGGCTCCTCCTGCCGCCGGCTCGGAGCGCAGCGCACGAGAGAAGGAGCAGCGAGGCTCCGGCTCCGGCTCTGGCTCCGGCTCCGGCTCCGGCTCCAACCCAATTCCGGGAGCCGCCGCCGCCGCCTCTGCTACTGCTGGCGAAGTGACGTGAGGGCTGACGCAGAGCAGGGGCAGAAACTCCAGAAAATTAGTCTGAAATCCAAAAACACACACGCTCATACACACACAAACGCATAACACCCTCCAGACAAAAGCAGCGGGGAGGGGAGGGAATCTGGGGGCGAGTGGGGAGGAGGCGGCTTCGGTGCGGTGCCACTGGCCGCGAGCAGACAGCAGCAGCGTGTGGGAGTTCACACACGCGCACACACACGCACACACCCGGCCGTGTGGACACGCGCGTGCGTGCGTGCGTGTGTGCATTCAGATCCAGGTACCTCCGGGATGGACCGCTCCGCCTCTCGACGCCTCTCGGCCCCTGGTTCGCACGGAGGTCTGCTCTGCCACTGCAGTAGAGACTGTCACCCTTTTTGAAATGGAAACTGGGCTTGGTTCAGCTCTGAAAAATGCGCTGATTCTTATTATAGGAACCTCCCTTTCCTCGCCCTCCCTGCTGCTTTCTCCTTTTCCTCCCTGCCTAAAGGGGACGGGAGCTAGCCCCAAATAAATAACACTGTAAACGCCAAAACGCGCTCTGCGCTGGCAACTAAGGGTCACTGCCCCCTTTCTAGGCCACCTCTTTGGGGATCGGTTTTTGGGAAGGTCTTCCTTGGGTGCTTGTGGAGAGGGAGAGGAGTGTCCACGCCCAACTTAGCTGTGGGTCTTTTCCTGTCCTTTTGTGCCATCACACGCCAGCGAAATGGAGACGCGTGAGGGCAAGGTGCGCCTGGTGCGGACTGGGTCACTGCACGGGGCGTCCCGGCCTGTCCGGTGTGCGCTGCCGCGTCATTTTCTCTCCTGCTCCAACCTGGCCGAACGCAGCCATTCCGCTCTCGGAGCTGCTCTCCCCGCGCTGCCCACCCCCACGCGGGCAAGCGAGCCCTCGCTCCCCGGCCGTACCTTGCGCGCGTGCGGTGTGCGCGGGTGTGCGCGGGTGTGCGCGGACGCGTACCCTGCGCCCGCGCTGCCAGGAGCACAACGTGCATCCAGCTAAGGAGAAGCCCGGAGCGGGCAGCTCCTCGGGTCCCACGGGGGTGAAGGAGGCGGTCCGGGAGGGTCGGGTGTCAAACCATAACTGCTCTGCGGACGCAGTTAAATGGTGGCTGCGGGTATCGAAAGCCGTGTCTGAGAATCCTTCTTCCCATTTGCGGCTCAGAGTCTGTTTTTCCGCAGTCATTTAAAAGGGAACTGGGAAAATGCACCGCAGTGCCTGACACTTCCGAGGGCTCTGGTGCCCCCGCGTGGGGAGACTGCGCCCGGCAAGCTCCGGAGCGCCAGCCCTCGCTACCGTTGCAGCGGGCACTGCGCGGGGCGCGCTCCTGCGCCAGATGCGCAACCTGCGGCGCCCGACGCGCAACCTGCGGCGCCCGACGCGCACGCGTCCCTCCGAGGCTCTGCCGGCCACGCCAGGCCCCGACCTCTGAGATCAGGCCAGAAGGCGCCACGGACGGGTCTAGTCCAAAACGCGAAAACGGTAACCAGTCACCGGTCTGTTCACAGAGGCGGAGAATGGAAAGACAGGGAAACCAAGTGTCAGGGCGAGTGCTGGGTGCTCCGCCTTACACGTTACAAGGAAGGAAAACATCTAGCGGGGCTGCTGTCCAGCCTGTCTCCGCTGAGCGTAACCATGGCTGCCCTCCTGCAGCACTCCTAACTCTGCTGCAGCCAGAAGACCAGGCCAGCGACGGTGTCACACTGGTGTGGGGGCCGCAGTGAACTCTGACATCCTCAGCTGGGCCTCATCCTGTGCTGGATGCGGACACGCCACGGAAGAGAAGCCAAGGGCAAAACCCAGACCACAGGGTGAAACTGCCTTCAAGTGGAGAAGCTCAGTGGCACTGGGACTCCTTGTGGAGGGTGCGTGCATAATTAGCCTTCGCCCCGCTCTCAGAAATGGCCCTTTCCCACTAAATAACTGCGCGCCAACGCTCTCACTCTCATCTTCAGATCTGAGTCTTCTCTGCTCTGAGCACTTCTTCGGACCTCACTTTCTGCTCCTGTAGTAGCCAGATATGTTCCAGCGCTTGGCAGGGGGTCATTGCCTTTTCCCTGGAGCTGGTAATTCATACAGCACAAACGGTGCCTAGAACACACTGAGACAGTCACTGTTTTTTTGACTGATTGAATTAGAGATCTAGCTCAATTTGAGGACCTACAAGCTATTTTCTAGGGATCATTACAGAGATTCTCAGACTGCTTTACAAGATATGATGAAGATTTTTCAGATGGCTAATGAGGAATAAAGATGATTTCTCCCTGACCCCTTCAGTGTAGGGGTGGAGACTTGTTACAGGTTACTACCTCTACTGGACCATGATGAACCCATCACAGTGTTTCTCAAAGTATTCTGACCATGTCCATGACCATGAAATTTCTCATCACAATCCAATGTATACATGTATAAATGCATATGACTTGAAAAAGCTTCACATAAAGCTTACCTATCCTTATTACAGGGAATGTGCCAATATTTTCTTTTTTATTCTTTACCATTTCAGTTTATATTGCTTTTAATAACCCAATAAATTGATTTTACTCTTCAGTACTAGATTGTAAACAGATTTACCCTCTTGTCCAATCAACACACTGAGGGAAATATATGAAACACCAGTTTTTAAAACAGAGGCTGTAACATAGTGAACACTCTGGCTCAGAAAGGGAACTGAGGCAAGGTTCCACTGCTTAAGTTGAGAATGTGCAGCTGAGAGAAAAGGGGAAAAAAGAACAGAGTTCTCAGAGGAGGGGGAGAGTGCCAGTTCATCTTAATTGATGACTTATCTGAAAAAGATTCCTAAGAGGTGATGGGGTGGCTGGGCTCTGTGGCACAGCTGAATGTGCTGGAAGGAGACCTGCAGGCCCACAGAAGGAGGGAGGCCGAGGCTGTGCCTTGGAAGGGAGGGCATGTTCCTCCCAGCTCTCTTCTTTCCAGCCACCTTGGAGTGTGTTGCTTTGCTCCACCCAGCCCTTCTGCTATGATGTTCCTGACACGGAGCCAGGAGCCCAAAACCATGAGCAAAAATAAACTTTTCCTCCTTTAAATTGTGTATGTCGGGCATTGAGTCCTAGTGACGGGATGGGAGAGCTGACAGCACAGGGAGGGCTGCAGAGGGAAAGAGTTCCAGCTCTCTGAAGAGGTCCCCCTTATGTATGCAGCAGAGTGACTACTGACTGGCACATGCCAGGGTGAAGCTACCTGAAGCCAGGGAAAGCAGCACTGGAAAGATGAACGGGAACAGGGTCAAAGAAAAAAATCAAAAGGGAAACTGAAGACACTAGCCAGGGACGTAGCTCAGCAGTACAAGCACCTGCTTGGCAAGCACAAGGTCCCGAGTTTGATTCCCAGTACCAAAAAAAAAACCTGAAAACACTACGTGCCAGAATTTGTGGGGCCCCACTGAAGCAGTACTTGGAAGAACTGTATAGCACCACATGTCTACACCTAGTCAATGACCTCAGCCTCTACCTTACGAAACCAGAAAAACAAGAACAAGCTAAACACAACATAAACAGAAGACAAATAATACAGGCAGGAGCAGAAAATAATAAAGTAAAAAACAGATAATCGACCAAACTAAGAGCTTCTTTGAGATCTATAAAATTGATAAACATCTAGCCAAACTGATCAAGAATGAAAGAAAGAAGACACAAATTACCAATAACAAGAAAGAGGGCAAGGATAAGAATACAAGATATTCTCTAAATGTAATGAAATAGTAAGCATAGATTGTGAATAATTTTGTGCAAATAACTTTGACAATTTAAATGAAATGAACATATTCCAAGAGGTGTAAACTAACAAAGTTCTATAGAAGTAATACATTACTTGAATAGTCCTATATCTAATATAGAAATTTATTTCACAGTTAAAAACCTTCCTAAAGAGAAAACTCTAGGCCTAAATGGCTTTGTCATGAAGTTTAGAAAAACAAAGAAAAATCACACTTGATTCTACCTGTACTCTTTCAGAAAAATAAAGAGAAAAGAAGATTTTCCAGCTTATTGTATGAAGTCAATATAAAAATCAAAGAAATCAGCAGATCAATGTCTTTTAGCTATATAAATGCTAAAATTCTGAGCAAAATTTCATTGAATTGAATCAAGTAATGTGTCACACATTCCAAAACATCATTACTATGTAGATTTTATCCAGGAATGAAAATTTAATGTGTAATTTACTGTATTTATGAACTAAAAACCTAAAACTGTATGATCATCTGAGAAGTCACAGAAATATTTGACTAAATCCAATACCTATTTTTGAAAACTCTCAGCAAGCTGAGAATAAAAGGGAATAGCCTCAGTCAGTAAGTGGAATTTTAAAAATCTCTAGCTAATGCAATATGTAAATGGAGGATAAGAATACTTTTCTCCAATTATCAAAAAGAGTAGGAAATCCACTCTCACCTTTCTATTTAGTATTTTCCTAGAAATTTTAGTTAGTGCAGTAAGGCAAAAAGAGAAATAAAAGCAGGCAAATTGGAAAAGAATAAAACTATCTTTTCAAACAGTTATGATTTACATAGAAAACTCAATATAATCTACCAAAAAGCTTCCCATACGGATAAGTGAATTATCAAGTTTGCAGCATACCAGTGAAATACTTATCAGTCAATTTTATTTCTATATTCTAGCAACAAAAGTGATGGATTAAATTTTTACAAATATCAATTATTATAGCAACAACAATATGAAATAATATAAAGCACAATCTGTAAAATGAAAAAAGATGGATGAGTCAGATTTTATAAAAATTAATAATTTCTACTCTTCGAAGTATACTGCTAATAAAATGAAAAACCTCATTGGAGCTGAGCACGATGGTGCATGCCTGTAATCTCAGCACTTGGGAGGCTGAGGCAGGAGGATCACCATGAGTTTGAGGCTAAGATAGGCTACATAGTGAGTTCAAGATCAGCCTGAACTACGTAGCAAGACCCTGTCTCAAAACAAATCTAAAGAACTCCCAAAACTCAATAATAACAATGTTTAAAGTATGCAAATGAGCTAAATAATGCTTTGCCAAAGAAAATACACAGCTGGCAAATTGCACATGAAATGGTGCTCGGCATTGTTAGCCATGGGGGAATGCAAATCCAAATGACAATTAAATGTTTGTAATTAATCAGAATGAACAAAATGTAAAAGTTTGACCATATCAAGTGTTGGCAAGACTATGGAGCAACTGGAATCCTCAAGGACCTCAGGTAGAAGTGCAAAATGACACAGCCACTTTGGAAATATAGAACAATTTCTTTAAAAGTTAAACACTACCTGACTTCTACATGTATTACAAAGCAACATATTACTGGTATGAAATAGGCACTATATTGTCCTCAGCAAGTGGTGCTAGAAAAACCACGGTATATACACATGTAAAAGAGTGACACTGACACTGGACTTTCATAATATGCAAAACTCAACTCAAAATGGGTTAGAGACCTAAATGTAGGACCTAAAACCCAAAATTATAAATCCACTAGAAGAAAATAGGGGAGAAATACTCTGTGACATTCATCTAGGCCGGGATATTTTGGACAATAACATAAATGCATAGATGTTAAAAGGAGAAATAGATGGGATTGAATCAAGCTAAAATGTTTCTCACCACAAAGGAGATAGTCAGTGGAGTGGAGAACCTACAGAAAGGAAGAAAATATTTGTGAAATACATACCAGACAAGAGATTAATATCCAGGAAACAGGTAGAACTCAAAAGATTCAACAATAATGATAATCCACTTTAGAATGGACAAATGATCTGAATAGACATTTCTCAAAAGAAAACATACCAATGGCCAATGAAGTATAGTATATTTTAAAATGTTCAATATCACTAATCATCAAGGAAATGCAAATGAAAACAGTAATAAGATACTATCTCATCCTAGTAAAGATGGCTATTGTTAAAAATACAGAAAATGACAAATGCTGGCCAAGCTATGGAGAAAGGGATCTCTTAACACACTCATAGCAGGAATGCAATTAGTAGAGCCACTATGGAAAACAGTATGAAGCTGCCTCAAGAAATTAAAACTAGAGCTACCTTATAGTCAGGCAATCCAACCACTGGATATTTATCTAAACCAAATAAAATCAGTATATCAAAAGACACCTGCACTTTCTGATATATTGCAGGACTTCATAATAGCCAAAGCCAAATCAAGGAATCAGTTGAACTACTCATTGGAGGAATGAATAGAGAAGGAAATATATCTACACACAGTAGAATACTATTCACCATTACCATGAAAAAGCACAAAATCCTATCATTTGGTGCAACATGAATGCAATTGGAGAGCATAATATTAAGTGAAATAATCTAGGCACAGAAAGACAAATACCACATGACTTCACTCCTAAATGAGACCTGAAAAAGCTGAGTTTCCAGAGCTAGTGAGCCAAGTGATGGTTAGTAGGGGCTGGGAAAGACAGAAGGAAGCTTGGCATAGGAGACACTGCTTAATGGATACATAGTCACAGCCAGATAAGCAGAATGAAAATAGGTGTTACATCGCACAGACAGTGAATATGGCTAACAATATCATGTCATAATGCAAAATACTAGAAGAGATGATTCTGAAGGGTCTCATCATAAAGAAATGATAAATATTTGAGATGATGTATTTCTGGAATTGATCAATAAATAATGCATAAGTGTACCAAAATGTCACACTGTGCCCCATAAAGATGTAAAAATATTATCTGCCAATAATTTTTAATAGGGAAAGTAATTCTGGTCCCATAGCTTTGTGCAAATATTGTCTTTTTTTTTTTTTTTTTGGTTTTTCTCCGGTACGGGGAACCGAACTCACGACCTTGCGCTTGCCAGGCAGGCGCTTTTGCCACTGAGCTAAATCCCCAGCCCCTGTGCAAATATTGAATAATATTTTGTAAGATGTGTTATAAGCAGTTGTCAAGGTGCTTAGTACCTGGTATGTGCTCATTAAGTTGCCCTGGATGTGACCCAGATATTCCATATCTAGGTAATAACCTGAGAGAAATTAAAGCACATGTCCAGGGCTGGGGATATAGTTCAGTGGTAAGAGCACCTGCCTGGCAAATGCAAGGTCCTAAGTTCAATTCCTGGTACCAAACATGAATGAATAAATAAATAAATAAATAAATAAAGCACATGTCCCTACATAGACTTATACATGACTGTCAAGGCAGCTTTAGCTGAGTAGGAAAAAACTGGAAATGATCCAATTATTAATCAACAGGTGGATGAGTAAAGATATTGCAGCATATCTATATGATGGAATGCCATTCAGCAATGAAAGGCAATCAACTGTTGATACCTGTATCTGTATGGAAGAATTTCAAAATAATCATTCTAAGTGAATGGCCCAGATAAAAATGAATATATAGTAGACAGTCCCATTTTTATAAAAGTGTTGAAAATGCAAACAAATTGATCACACTGAAAAGCAAATCAGTGATTGCTATTGAGGTGAGAGAGATGGCAGGGGGAAGACAGAGTAGAGAACAAGGCCCATGAGGATGCTTTGAGGACAGTGGGTGTGCTCATTATCTTGACTATGGTGAGGGTTTTAGTCTTAGCAAATTACAGGTTTAAATAGGTTTATAATTACATCAGTTATACTTCAAGAGTTTCATTAGAACCTCCAATTGTATGAGTGTACTATAAATTTTGGAGATTTTTTAGCATACACAGATTTTTAATGTGCTAATTTTAGAAAGGTCTACTATATATTTTTTTACATTTTCGAAAACATTATAGAAAATTATGATTTAAGAGATAGAGGAGATAGTGACCCAAAGTTAGAAACAGCCAGAATGTCCACTAATGGTAGAACTACTAAGTAAAGTGTAATATTCTGTTATATGTGGCATGCAGCATGACACATTCAGGACACGCCCTTGCCTGTGCAATGTCCCTGAAAACCACAGCGACACCAGGGGCAAGAGCCCGTATCCTCTCTTCCCTGTATGTTAACTTCACTCAACTTTTAGACACCCAACACACAATAAGTCAACACAGACTTATTGGAGAAGAGCAGATGGAGAAAATTTCACAAAACCTCAAAAAATTAGTGAACCTGAAATCTATGTTGGGATAATCTATCTGAGTAAGTTTCATGGGCAACTCTGGATTATTTTTCTGGATTTTGTCAATAGTGTAAAGCAATACGCACACCTGAGACCACATTGCCCAATTTTGTCAGTAGCTATCTTACCGCGCTGCTACCTCACAAAAGGACCTTTACAAAAGAGCTTACTTTGTCCTCAGTAAGCAAAGCATGCTTTTATGGTGCTATCCAACCCAGATTTATTGAAACAGTCACGTGCACCCAGTCTAACCCAGCTGACAGTTACATTTCATGTATATTCCATGAAACGAACAATATTTATGACCATACTATTCTTAGAGTTAGATAGTCACAAGTATTCAATCATCTCTCTATGGGTAAGTAACCAATTTCTTCCAAATGGGGTAACAACCAATTTAACATCCAATGTAGTGCTTTGTGGTTTGGATATTCCTGATGAAATAAAGCAGACCAGAAAATATCAAACTATATCACACATGTAGAGGAAACACTGTTTCATGAAACTTTGCATTCGTTGTGGGTTGTACTGGATTATGTTATATCTGTAATGCTTTTTCTAAATCACAGCCAAACAAGATTCAAACCCACTGGCAGAGTATACTATCTGAACCATTTTTTAGGAATTCCCTTCACAAAAGGGTACAATTCAGTCTCTGCTTGAACACTTTTGATAACTCTCCCTAATCAAAACACTAGAAATGAATACTTCCTAGATAGTATTATTAGTCATGCAATAATCATCAGCAACTTGCAGCCTGTAATGTGCTTATTTTTCTTAGTAACTTTGATGTCTAATAGGATCTCTTGCATGAAGGTCAGTATGTGTTAATTGAATTGAAGTTAACCTCATCTTTCTACATCTGTGATTACTAGAAAGTTCCACTTTATGTTATTCATGAATCTGCCTCCCTAGTAATGAGGGGGGACAGACTTGCTTCAAGTCACAGGTCTTTCTCCTTCAAGTGTAGTACTCAGGTCCTTTCTAGGCATCTCCAGGTCCTTCTTCTAATTTGGATTAGCAGTTTCCAGGAGTGTCACCATTGGGGTTGTTATTCAAGGTACACACTTTTAGAACAATATACTTCTTGACTAAGGCTGTCCTGAGCCACCTATGAAACCACGCATCCAGGGGCTTAAAGCTGGTAAGCACTTGAAAGGAAGCCAGCCCACACGGAAGTGTTCTGTAAGTGCAAAATATACATTTAGTGTAAAGACTTAATATAAATATGTAAAATATTTCATTGATATTGATTATGTTTTGGAATAACATTTTGTATTAAGTGAAATCAAATATATCATTAAATCATCTTTATTTCTTTTTACTTTTTCATTCTGGAAATTTTTGTTTGCTTTTTTTAAAGTTATCAACTCAACATTTATCCTTTTTAAAAACCCTGCTGTTGACTGTTGTTATCTGGGAATCAATGACCCAGATCAATGAATACTGCTGAATCTTCTGTATAACCTAAAAGTGTGAACCTGCTATCCAGTATTTTTCCTGTGCCTCCTATAATAATATGATCTATAATAATATAATCCTATATAATATTAAATCCTATAATATTAAACCTATGATAATATAATCCTATATAATATTAAAAATAATATTTTTCCTGTGCCTCACCTGTAGGTATAATATGTATGCCTTTCAAGCATCTACTTTAAGTCACTGGTTAAAAACTATTTAACATGACCGGTCCAGATGCTTAACTAGAGATATCATCTGGGTGGGAATTCCTTCTTTAACTAGTTAACTCATCTTTATATTAAGTGTGGGTATTTAACTGGACAAGACACTATCAAGCTGAATTCCACAAAAATGTCTTTTTTGTCTCTTGGCCTGAGCCACCTATGAAACCACACATCCAATTACATACAGAATAAGCCCACATTGCCCACTAGTTATTATTTTTATTTTGTTCGGTGTTTGGTTGTTTTTGCAATCACCGTGCAACCCGTCTCTAGTGAGAAGTACAGATCTATACTCATCCTAATCTAATGTCAACCTTACACCTATCTTCCAGCTTTTTTACTCACAATTCTATTTCTTCCTTTGATCACTTTTGATCATTATACCCCATTTTTCTAGTATCTAAATATCAAGTTCTCCAAATGATTGGTTTTCACTGTCCTTTCAGCATTTGGTACCCTGGTCTGTCTTACACTGAAATTCCTCCTCCATGGTTTAGTTTGTAAAGCCCAGCTATAAGGTACCTGGCCAGTTGGTACTCACTGCTTTTCCACTGCTGGGGAGAGGTTGGACAGGACAGCTCGGACAGAGAGGGGGCAGCACAAGTGGGCATTAGTCTGAGGAAACCGGGCAAGAACCGTGACACGAGAAAAATTCCTATCCACCTGAACTGAGTCATTTAGTTGCTACCTTGGGTCCAACCTTGCTTCTTTGGAGAATGAAGACATGTTCTCTTTTCTTCCATGCACCTCTTTCCCCAAGTGTTATCAGCAATTTTCCCTGGTTATATAAACAAGCTGAGTAACAGCCTTTACTATCTTTGCACTGTTTACATGACGTACAAGGTGGCCTCATTTAACTAAGATGCCCACTTCTTATTAACTGTGCCCTCCCTGCCATTTCCAACGGAAAGACTGTCTCACCAGGGAAGTGATAATACAGTGTTGCCTCTCTGCTCTGCTGGTTTCTCACCATCTGTCCCAAGCTCTGAGCTTGTCTCTTTATTCCTCTTCTTACTCTAAGCCTAATTTAAATAGTCTTGGTTGTTACTGTTCCCTCTTAATGCAGTCTTGCTTTCTCAGGCTTTCTGCCACAGTTTCCACAGATTGGTGCTGCTCTGTTGTATCCAAAACTTGGTTCTTGTACACCAAAATCCACAGTGCAGTTAAGGAGAACCTCATTTCTTCCTCAGGGGGCTCATTCATGGCAGTGTGGTCAGAGTTTTATGCTTTAGAATTTCCTTTCTCTTTTAGATCAATATCCTCTTTTAGCGTCATCCTGTCAAAAGGTTTTATCTATTTTTCCTCAAAAAATGCAATGTATTCTTTGAACTCTAGGATGTATAGCAGGTTTCACAGCCTCCCATACCTAGGCAGTACACTCTTCAGGACCACAGCCAGGTTGGCTTGTAGGTTCCCACGGCCCTGTCGTAAATGTTCTTGCCCTTCCCACCTGAGTCCACAGAATCCTCTGTCTGAGTGACAGTTCACTGGGCTCAGGGAAATTATATTATTAGTGGCTACAGTGGAAACATCCCAACAGTAAAATGGATCAAGAAGGCAGAATGAAGCTTATTTCCAAGTTACTGGCCCACCTTTTCTACTTGTACTATGCCTTGTTCTAAATACTGGAGCTGTTCACCCTGTTCCTACACCCCTCTTTCAAAGCTGTAATTTTCACTGGAATAAATGTGGAACACTCCTGTTGGGAGCTGTGTACCTAAATTCTTCCATTTCCATAATAAAGGAAAGTTCATGCTACTTTGATAAAGAGATTCCTTCTCCCAAACTGAGCAGCTTAGGTGGGTAGAAATTTTTCTCACGCGCAGTACGGAGCAGATGCATATTCCAAAGAAGACCTATGGTGGTACCCCCTGACAGCTTCTGTACTTTGGTCTCCTTCGTCTTGTTGCTCTGTCATTGTCTGTTTGTTCTTTTCTACTTGGTCAAAGCTGACTTCCCAGACTGTGGAAAGAAAAAGAGAAGAAACAGAAGTGAAGTTGCTATATCATGACCACATATATTTCTTTGTAAGAACTTAGTCAGTGGCCACACTTTCTCTTCAGACAAAGTTTAGGTGAATACAACTATTAACCAGGTATGGTCAAGTGCTCTGGGAGACTAGAACTTAAAGTTTTATTTCTCAAAGGAACAAAAAGAGAATGAGAACTGGGGGCAGGATGACAGTATTTACCATAGGCCCCTAGCTAGAACTTCAAATTCAGTAGGACACAGTCCAGTCTTTTCCTACCTGCTTCGTCTTTAGGTTAAAACATCATTTAGTGGCAATTCAAAAGTGACACCTTCTCTTGAATGACTCAAAGGCCACCCTGCCCCACTTCTCACACTCACTGAGTCTGAATTCATTAATGAAGTTTGTTAATGAATATATGCATAATATTACAAATGGCAAAATCTGCTGCTTTAATCTTTGTTTCTGAAGTCATCTCCCAATTCAGGCCATTATTCAGAACAACTAAAACAACAGTGAGTTGAATTTGTATTCTTTCTCACGACTTAAACTGAAGCTTTTTTCCTCCCAGAAGAAAACGAAGAGGGTGCACTCCTGAAGTTGAAGCCCAGCTTTGGGTTCACTGTACCACAGATACCATCTTGGTAATAATTCCATTTTGTGACAGAAATTATCAGGCAGGTGTTCAGTCAGCACTGTGCCACTCTGAAGTTTATGCAACAGTTTTGAACAAATTATTGAATACCTTAAGCCTCACACACTATCTATAAAATGAGGATAGCAAGTCTAAAAGCACAGCTGCAAATTCTTTGACACTATCCCCAAAGAGAAGCAAGCCCCAAGTCGCTTCCCTTTGAAGCAAGGCAGGTTTGTGACTTCCTCAGCTAATGTAAATTATTGAAGTATCAGTTTGTGACTTCTAAGGCAGGTTGTACAAAGCGATGCAACTTCTACCTTGTGCCCTGGAGACTCGCTTGGGACCCTTGGCCACCATGTGTGATGTCCAGCTACCTCAAGGCTATCACACTAGAGACCATGTTAGCCAATAGTTTCAGTCTCTCAAATACCCCTGTACATTTAAATGGAGCCTATTTGGTCTTCCAGACCCCCACACCCATCCCAGTAGTACTGGGTGACTGATGTAACTCTACTTGAACAGGTGGAATTGGCTGACCCTGCCTGAATTCCTGACTCACAGAATTGTAAGGTAGAGTAAAGTGGCTATCGTTTTAAGCCACTAAGTTTTGGGTAAGTTCCTATACACTAATCAATAACCAAAACAATGATCAACTAGATAATCCCCACAATCCTTTCTGTCTGACATTCCAGGACTTATGAAAATGTCACAAAGGTATAGCTCCCTCATTTGCACTGTTTACAGAATCCTCTCCACGTCTTACATTTCCAGGTACAGACCTTTGTGTATTACACAATTAATTAGTTAACCTTCAGTCAGCAAAATAATTGGTCAAAGGATAACTCAGTAATTACACAAAAATAGTGCAGACTATTGCTTGAGAAGGGAAGTAGTGTGGGAACTTTCTGAAGGGACTCTGAGACAACCTTACAAGCATGAGCATCTACAAGCCAGCAAAGAAATACCAACATTGATCTCCAATCTTGACTTTTGGGGAAGTATGTGGAGGTGGGAGGGCCTTTAGCCATCAGACCTCCATTTCTCTTCAAGTTCATTGACAGACATTACTAAACACTGGGAGGAAAAATAAGACTGAGACACAATTTCCATCTTTCAAAAATTTGAAGTCCAATGGGAAGACATATATTAAATAGATCAGTTCAAGGTTTCAACCAGGGTCTACATGAGACACAGGAGCACAGAGCTCCATCAGGGATTCAGAGAAAGTTCCGTGGAAGCAATGACCCTTGAGCTGAGTCTTAGAGAATGCTCTTAAATTTTCTAAGAGGAAATAACCAAGAGGATTGCCATGAGAAATTGCAAAGAGGATGGGAACAGCATGGCACATGGGAGGAGCCATATGCTATGCAAATGGCCACGCCTACCCCTTTTCTCTGTCCTCCCCAGAAAATTAGCACAATCTGTGTCCATAGCTTCTTGTCCTCAGACAAGACTCTAAGAAGACATGGTGATTGCTTTCTTGCCACTTCCTTTGATCCAATTAGAGTCTGCCCCGTGGTCAGTACACTCACAGCAATGCAGCAGCCTGTCTGGTGGATGTTCAGTGATTTCTACCATGACCTAGATCTGACAAGCCCTGAAGCTCTCCCAAGCATTTTCACATGTGGACAGCTCCTTCTGTTCTTCCTCCTTCCCTGTCCTTGGGGATCCTAGCCCCGGGCTTTAGATAACCTTAGAGTTGTTCTATCCTAAATCCAATGAATAGAAAGCATATGGAGACAAAAATCTACATAGGCATTGCAATTCTGAAGTCATCTTAGCAAAGGAAAAAATAGGAAATGAATTATTCTGTAAAATGAAATCAACCTCTTGAAATTCTGTTGTCTTTTCACCTCAGTGGTTCCTCTTTGTTAAAAGATCTTAATGGTCAGTTCACTGACCTCATGTCTTATAGCAAAAGTACCTCTTTTCTGCCTAGAAGCCCTAGAGATTATGCAAACCCCTTTACAAATATAGAAAGTGCACCTTTCACCTTCCTTTTATTGCTTTTGAAGCAAGTTTCAGTGAACCCTCTCTGTTCTGTGGGAGGCATGTGTTCATGAGGTCACATTTGGACGCTGTGCATTTGGAGAAGGTCCTGGACATGAGAGGAACCCTTTGCTTCATGTATAAGTAGAAGGGAAAAGTCTGTCCCCAAAGAATAATGCAACTTCTGAGGGAAAGTGAAACTTAGCTCTTGATTTTCAATACTCTAGAATATTTCCAGTAATCTTCAAAGACTATTATCTGACCCTCAAGACGAACCAAAAATATCATCAATTCTCTTTAACTTAAACTTGAAAAAAATGTGCTTCTTAGAACGTTTGGCTTAGGAGATGACATCCTGACAGCCATCCCAGGAGCTTTCTCATCTCAAAGGCGGTATCAGCCACTGGCTTTGCCTGTGATTCTCTGGTGTCCTATGAGCTCCTTGTGTTCTAAATAATAAAATGCATAGTATTGTAAAAAGATGAAAGAACACAAGATTGTATATAAGGAAGAAGCACAGTGAGGTTTTAGGTCATTAATTTGTCTTTCTGTGCTTGCAGCTCCATGTTTAACAAGTGGGGGTGATGTTATCAGACTTCTATTTTACAAGGCTCTCAGGCGCTTAACTAGATGTTGTTTTAAGTGTTGGTAATTGTAATTCTGAGACTTTATGAGAAGAATATTGTCTGCAAAGTGGTTGTATTGTTTTAACCTCATTTTTTGAAGAGAACAAAGTTATGCAGTGCAGGTTTAAGAGCACTTTAAAAAGGACTGACAAAGTCAGTGCAGCCTATCCTTCACTGGATAGAAGGAACAACTACCTCTCTTCCTACAGAAAGGACTGCCCTGCTGCTGGCCATGATGAGAAGTGGCAAGGTCCAGAATGACCTCACCTTACCCTTAAAGCAACCACCAGCTTCCTTGGCTTTGGTGTCTTTGACACCACCACAGGACTAGTTGTAAGGACCATATTACCTCCACATTGCCTGAGATACATTGGGTGGCTCATTAGAGAATGCCAGAAAGTCATTTATTAAGTTAGCCTTCCTCTTTAGCCTTCCTTTCATTCTGGGATATAATTTTCTTTGCAAGAAAAAAGGTGTTCCAATGTAGTTACATTTTAGTGGACGAGTCATGGGAAAGGGGGAAAAGAAGAGAGGGAGATAGTGGGAGGGGAAATGAGGGGAGAAAGAGAGGAAGACAGAATATTCCAGAGCCTATTTAATATCCTATAAATTGACCCCCTATCTACACACGTGCTAGAATTGGGCTTAGATCTCTGTATAAGGAAATATTTCCCTTTGTCTTAGTTTCACAGAGTCTAATCTAAAACCCCTCCATCTGAGAACCTGGATCTTTGTCTGCCTTCTCCCCAGCACACATGGTGTCTACTTCCTTCTACACCCCCCGTATTTTCTAGGTCTTTGTTCTAGATCTGAGCTTACATGCACATGTGAGATGCAAGCCCACATCTGTTCAGCACAGGACTCAAGACTCTGAGTGAGGCCAAATTTTAAAACAAAACAAAACACAAAACACTTGCATTTATTTTTAATCTTTTCCCTACCATCGTCACTCTTCTTGATTACTGTTTATTTTTTGATATTTCTCACCAACACAGCAATTTTGTTTCCACTCTGTTTCCTATCACTTTTCTCCAGACAGCCACAGGGAGTGAAGCAGATGTAAGACTGCCATCTTGTGCTCAAGATGGTTATCATTCTTCACAGTGTTTCTTCTACCATCAAAGGTGATTTATGGGCTTTGAGAGAGGAAGGCCTTGGATTCCAGGTCTGATGTTCCCTGACCTAGATGTCCCCAGAAGCTTTTAAAACTTTGCATGGTTGACATAGCTTTTCTGACCTTCCCTCTCCAGAGTGCCATGAGTCACCCCTTAGTTGAAAGCCACTTTTTTTCCAGTGATCTGCTATGATTTGTGCCTGCATGTCCCCCAAAGCCTCAGGCAGTCATGGGGCTGGCTTCTAGAGTTTTTGATTGACTCAGGGTCCAATGCTGGGATTATGGGTGTGAGTGCTGCACCCACCCCAGGGTAGGTAGCCTGCATACGATATAAGGGAGGGAAAGAGGCTTGCTCTCACTGCTCCTCCCTTTTTGCTCTTGCCACTTTTGCTATTTTCCTCCACCACAAACTGTTGCCCTCTGCCACGTGTCCCTTTGCCTTGGAACCAGCCAAGTATGCACTGAAACTTCCACAAACTGTGAGCTAAATAAACCTTTCCTTCCTTCATCTTGGGTGTTGGGTATTTTGTCTCAGCAACGTGAGAAAAGTAACCAAGACAGATTCCAAGTGTAACTTAGAGGAACCACAGTGCAGGTGCCACTCTTTACACTTTTGCCCAACTCTGG